CTTGCAACCTACTTCGGTGGGGGGGGGGGGGGGGCTCGTGGATGTAGGGAGAGAGGAGGAGGAGGAGGGAGAGGAGGAGGGAGAGGAGGAGGAGGACCAGGAGGGAGAGGAGGAGGAGGAGGAGGAGGAGGAAAGAGCCAAGAGCCCCAGGAGACGCAGCGGTGATACCTTTCCCACGTGCGTCATGCAGAGGATGACTTCGACTTCCTGGCGGGTGAGCTGCAGGCCCTGCATGTCGTTGAGGACGAGGACGGCGTCCTTGAGCTGCGAGACAGAGAGGAGGCCGTCCCTGTCCGTGTCCAGAGCTCGCAAAGCAGCATCGAAGTCCTCCAGGTGCTCCCGCAAAGCCTCAAGGAGGTCCCGACTGCTGCGAGTGTGGGAGAGGTGGGAGGAGGGAGGAGGATGTACCCTCTTCTCCGCGCGCTTGCCCATAACTCCTCCTGCTCCTGCTCCTGCTCCTGCTCCTCCTACTCCTCTCTTGGTCTCTTCTCCATTCCCCTGCAGTGCCATCCCTGGTCCTTTGCTCGCCTGGCCCTGTAGGAAAATCGAATCCTTGGCGAGTTTCCAGGGAGGGAGGAGAGCGTCGCGGCAGGAGCGTTGGAGGAGGGCGGACTGAAAGGACTTGGCAAACCTGAGCCCGAACCTCCTCCTGCTCGCCGACCTCTCCTCTGTCCACGACAGCAACAGCCAGAAGGGAGAGGAAGAGCTCTCCACTTTGAGGTCGTGGGTGATCCCCCGCTCCTCCATTACCTCCAGCTCTCCCTTCATGCTCCCCTGCCGCACGAACGCGATCCTTGCGTCCTCCTTCCTGCTGCTGCTCTGCAGCATGCAGACGAGGACCGGAGCTCGATACTCCATCTCCTCGTCCTCTCCCTTGCTGTAGAACAGCTGGGCCTTGAGCGCGAGGAGGAGGTTGAGCCCTCTCCTCTTGAAGTGCTGAAGCACCAGGGGGGAGGAGGCATGCGGTCCGTCCATGCTGGACCCATTCAGCATGCTGCCGCCCGTGTGATCAGAGTGTGCGGCTACCCTCTCCTCTGCACGTAGCAGGTCCTGCTGCGCTTGGCTAGAGCAAGCGTCCCACAAGCCCTCCCCCTTCACTTTGTCTCTCATCTCCTCAACCATCTCCTTGGCCATCCTGACCTGTCCGAGCTCGATTGCAACCTCAACATCCTGCGCACGCTGGGAGAGACTGGACTCCACCTCCCTCAACCGTTCCTCTGCGACCGTCTCCTCCCTCGCCCTCTCCCCTCGCTCCTTCAGCTCTCCTCCTCCCCTCGACTGTAGCATCCTCAGCTTAGCAATGCTGCGCAGATGCTCTTCGACCTGATGGGATTGAATTCTCCCGTGACCCTCCTCGTCTATCCTCTTGAACGTCCGCACAATCATCTCGTGGCTCAGCTGCCTCATCCTCAGTGACGTCAGGCCCTTCATCCATGCTTGGAAGTCTATGACAGGGTCGTCTCGCTGCCTTGCCGAGGAGGATGAGGAGATGAAGGAGGTACCTCTGCCATCCTTCGCATCCCTGCCGAAGATCGCAAACGCCTGCTTCAAACTCCCGAACTTCTGCTTCATCTTCAGGGCAACCCCCTCGATCGCCTCGTCAACTTGAGCATGCTGGCTCACACCCTCTGGGAGTTCTTTGCTCTCTCTCTCCCTCCTCGCAGGAGGCGACGACGCGTCCCGACTCTGCGACAAGAACGAGCTAAGATGGTCAAGACGATCCGCAGGCAGCGTCCTCGTGTTGACAGATAGGGCAGAGTCTCCCATCCCCGAGCTGTCGGAGGAGGAGGAGGAGGAGTCCAGCGGATAAGATTTCTCAATTTCGCTCTTTCCATTCACCTTCCTGCTCGCATCTGCCCTCTTCACGTGCCGGGAAAGTCTCCATGCCGTCCGACTCCCTTCCTCCTCCTCATCGTCCGAATCGTCTGAGGACGAGTCGAAGTCTTTCTCGTGTAAGGCACTCGCCTTCACCATCTCCGTCTCTTGAGAACTATCAACCGTCACCCCAGCAGCAGCCCCCGCGTTCGCCGGCTGCCATCGTTCCAACTTGTCAGCCGTGACGCTTTCTTGCTCGCCAAGGTCCCTTAACGACAGCTCACGAGTGTCTGAGCAAGACTGCCCAGCGCCCTCCACCTTGTCTCGGAGTCTCTGCACGAGGCGAATGCAGTTGTTGCCCGAGTCCGATATCACGATCGTCCCATCTTCAAGGCAGCAAACCCCGCAGGGCTTGTTGAATGTACTCTCTTCGATCAGGCCGTCAGTGGCTCCCCAGCATCCGTTCCCCGCCCATGAGCTCAGGCTCCGCAAGTCTCCGTCCAGCCTCCGAATCTTGTTGTTTTCTCTGTCTGCAATCAGTATGCTCCCATCCTCCAGCAGGCAGCTCGCCTCCGGGTGGTTCAGTTCACAAGTGTCGACGGCTCCATCTGTTCCACCAGCCTTGGGCCCTCCTGCCAGCGTCCTCACTTCTTTCCAGTCGGGCGACATGACGCGCAGGCAGTGATTCCCCGAGTCAATCACGAGCAGAGTCTCCTCCTTATCAAACATGACGAACGTCGGCCTCCTGAACTTGGCTCCCTCCGACTCGCCGTCCACAAACCCTCCTGCCCGGTCCGGTCCACTGCCCCCGGCTAGTGTCGTCACCATGCCGTTGGCGATCCTCCTCACGGCATTGTTTCCTGAGTCAGCTACGATGATCGACTTGTCGCTAGGGCAGACGCAGATGCTGCAGGGAGTGTCGAACTGCGCGACCTGCACCGGGCCGTCTCTGTGGCCACGCTTTCCGCTTCCTGCGAAAGCGACCACCCGCTCTCCATCGTAGGAGACGGATCGTATGCGGTGATGACCCGAGTCGCACACGAGGAGGCCGCTGGGGAGAGGGCAGATGCCCTTGGGGTGGAGCCATGAAGCGCTGGCTGCGAAGCTCTTCGTGCAGATCCCCTCGACAAGTGGTCCGCCTTGCCTGCCCAGCGCAACAAGTCGCAGAGCATTGTTCCCTGTGTCTGCAACGACCACAACACTTGTGTCAGCAGGATTCGGCGCGATGTCTCCCTCCTTCTTCAGCGCCATCGGCCGTGCATGGCGAGGTAGTTCACATAATGTCGTCGGACCTCGGAACCTGCTCACCGAGGGCGGGCCGTCCACAAGCCCAGGCTTGTAGCTGCTGTTGAAGGACGAGACTTGAAGCGGAGGAAGTGGGGGTGAGGGGGAGGAGGAGGAGGCTGGCATGCTGTCGGCTGCTGCGGTCTGAGCACGGGAGGAGGAGAGCGCGGCGGTGAACGAATGTTTCATGCCATGAAGAATTTAACGGAACCTGGTGCCCCTCATCCCCGCTCCATTTGAATACCCTCATCCCCGCCTTGATCCCTCGCATTCCCACAGATTCCTCTGCAGATTCCTGCACAGATTCCCACAGGGCTCATCTCATCTCAGGGATCATGGAAGGAGGAAGGGGAGGAGAGGGGAGGAGGATGAGCGAGCAGCTGGAAGGAGATGAAGATGGGACGAGAGCTGCTGCTGCTCAGATGGTATGAGATGGGATCCCATTCTTGAGCCTGCTTGCTCGATCCATTCCAGCAGCTTTCCACATGATCGCAGCTTTCTCCCTCACCCTCCTTCTGTTGCAAGTGCAGCTTGTTGAAGTTGAGAATGCGATTGCATGGCACTCGCGAGATGCACACAGGAACTTGATGCATCTACGGGGAGGACAAGGCGGCTCGCAAGGCCTCGAAGAGGCCTTCTCCTCTCAGTTTCCGTCAAGTAGGAACGAAAACGAGCGCACGGCCTCAAACGCTGAGGACAGTGATTTCCTGCTCAACCGCGGGCAGCCGCAGGAACCGAAGATCTTTGACTTCCCCAGCCATCTCGGGAGAAACGCTCAATTCAAGGAGTTCGAGGACACCTTCTTCAAGAACGCGTCCGCTGGCAGCGGGACTAGAGATTTCTACCGCCAGATTCACGAGGATATCTTTCCTGACGCGAACCCCATCGACTATCTCGATGGTGATCCAACGCAGCAGGATATCTTGACCAGAAGACTCCACGACGACTTGAGGAGGTACGTTACCCTTTCCTGCTGCTGCTTTCGCAGACTTCGTATGCAGAAGTGGCTTGGCTGAGCCGAGCTCGGGCAAGGGGAGTGAAAGCGAGAGCACGAGTCTGGGGCCGACCAACAAGAAGATACGACGCAGTGAGTATGCAAAGACGGATGAAGATCAGTCTGCAGAATCCGATAAGTTGGGCGAAAACTTTGGGAGGGAGTTCGGCTTTCCAACTGGGGGAAACATGGTCAACATAGAACCTGGAGATTTGTGCAACTGATCCACAGATGGCAGGGTGAGAATGAAGAGAACCAGGAGGAGAGTCAAAGTTTTTCGAGAGGAGATTCTGAGGACATGAACTTGATCAGCAACGAGGTGGAACCAGTCGGTGCAAGCGTTCGCCCCATTAGCACGAATGGTACTGACGCGCAAGGAAAGGAGTTGGTGCTTGTCGATCGACGATGCGCTCGCAGAGAAGAGTGACGAGTCATGCAGGCCGAAGCTCGACCTACAGCCAAAGAAGAGATACACCAGGGTGATGGACTGGTCGACGACAGTCCTGTCTTCGAGGTCCTCTGCACTGTGCCCTCCCCAGCACTGACTCTCCGTGGCAGGATTTGCTGGATGAGGAAGACGAGAACCAGGAAGCCTTCCCTGATGACTTCGAGGTGAGGGATCTGACTTGCCGTTGACGTCTAGAGGAGTGACTACTGAGTGAAGCTCGGGGACATCGTTGTACCCGACATGCACAACAACGTGCCGGAAGCGGTCCTGCTAGCCCACGACGAGGTCTCTGTCCTCTGTCTCGCAGAGGGTTGGAGCGTGCTGAAGAAGTTTTCTGTATCAGGCTTACGGTGGAAATCGAGTTTTCCTAAGACCAGGGGAGCACACGTGGAAGGCGTACAACTTTGGAAGAATCGAAGTGTTGAGGCCGTTGAAAGTCATCGCCCAGGTTGGCATTCCATATCTTGTTCAGATGTTGACTCTACATCACAACAGCGAGGAGCAACTCTCTTGGGAAAGTAAGGACGACGATGTTGAACGCGCACGCTCGACGAGGAAGTCATTCTTGCTGTTTGCGCAGGTGGTTGTTGCTGGATGGGAGCTCAGGGGAGTTCAAGAACGTCCAGTGCCTGTGGGAGGTTCCGACCTTGTAACCTGCAGTTGAGGACAGACTGACTTGCTGCCCCTACAGGCTGAGAACTCTGAACAGTGCAGAGTGATCGATGATCCTACCGTATACATACAGGGTGACTGCTTCACGAGGTTTCAAGGCCTTGCAGTGACTCTTTGTGCAATAGGAGGAAGGCCCTGGAAACTGAAGAACTGCGAGATAAGGTCGGCAGGATGCATTTCCTTGACCGTGTCACAATCAGGGTATGCTAGGATGGCTCTTCCCCTCTGCCATTTGTTGAGCACATCCTCTGAAACAGTCAATGCGAGGCCAAGTACTGCACATTCGGAGGGGCCGGAGAGATAACCTACGTGGAGGCACACGACGAGGTTGTTACCGCCAGCTCTCTCTCTCTCTTTCATTTGACCCTCCTGATCCGCAGAAGAACTGTGGCTCGCACGGAGTCAATGTATTCACCGACAGGATTGATGCAATGGTGACCCTGCGTGTTCGAAGGTGATGGGGAAAGCCGAGGTCAGTCTGCAGAAATGTCTCATCGAAGACACCTATGGCCCGGGTTGTAACTTCCTTGGGAGGACAAAAGGGTAAACGATCAGACTGAGTGCAGAAGATTTCATGATGACGTTGCTTCTAGAGAAATCGAATCATGTCTCTTTCAACGAAATGGCATCGGGATTGTATGTACTGAAATGTCCTTCACGATCGAAGCTTGATCGGCACGCAGGCGTTCGACTATCGCACGAATGTTGAAATAACAGGTGATGTAACCCCTCTTACTTTGTCCTTGTCTCTTCTATTCTCTCTCTCTCTCTCTCTTCTCCTCTCTATAAAACACACTCTCTACGTTTCTCTGTTCCTCTCTCTCTCCCGCCTCATTCGTTTGCCTTAGAATGTGTCCTCCGTGAAATATTCGAGGGAGCATTTTGGGCCATGCCAGGAGAGAGTAAAATGGAGGTCTTGACGACTTCTTGTTCCAAATCTTGTTCTTAAGAGTTCTTGCAAGGTGAGAATGACGTCGAACCAAGTGCATGGTTGTGTCTGGTGCACAAACAAGGTAGCAAACTGCTTGCAGATAGCATGGCTACACTCATCTGCTTGTTCTGCCTTGTTTTCAGCGTCCAGAGAAGCTGTCGATCAAGGGCAACAACTTCAATGTCTCGATCTTCACATGCCGTCCGACAAAGAATGAACTTGTTCTGCAGGAGACTTTTCCAGAACAGTGGAAAGAAGTCATCTCGTCTTATGGTGAGAGCGACAATGGATTTGCTGTAAATCTGGTTGAGTTCCTCGTCAACCAGCCCCGATGCTGCACGACATGATTGCTTGCGGACAACCCTGGATACAGCGAGACCCTCCCGACGGAGTATCTCTAACTTTATCCTCCGTGTTCGTAACTGTCATGTCAGGTCAAAATCGCGAAAGGATTTGCTATTTGAGACGCAAGTGGCCCCCGTCACGCTGAGTCATGGAGACAAGGCCGCTTGTCGGGCACAGAAGAAGATGGAGGAACTTCACTGCTGCTCCGGCAGGATGACAGAGCAGGAAGGACTTCACTCGGCCCGTGGGGGTTCAGCGAAGATCGACAGTTTGACATGCAAGCCTACTAACCGTATGAAAGATGACATTGAGATGTTGGATAAATGCAATTGGTGAAACATCTTTCCGAGCCGATGGTAAACACACACCAGTGACCCTGAGATCAGTATCGCTCGTGGGTTTATTTACATGAGGTCTAAAGTTACACGGATAGACTTGTCTAGGTCATGGTACACCCAGGCACTCGAGCCTTGACTCGTGACTGGCGAGTGGCAGCGCCTCTATTTGGGGGCCTGGTTGAAGACGGTCTTGGCAACCTCGATGGCCTGCTTGTAGGTTTGCTCGCCCCAGACTGCCGGGCTCTCAGTCAGACAACCTCCACAACGCCCTCACTGCCAAACACTCACTGAGCTTGGAGTTCTCGAGCACCGCAAGCACTTCCTCCTGCGTAGCGCCGACCTGCCAGAGAAACCCCGTTAGACCACCCCGAGCAGCGACGAGATCCCGGAGCTCACGTTCAGCGCTCCCTGCACATGCGACGCGAGCTGCATGGGAACGTCTTGGCCGGAGAGCACAGACACCACGCAAAGCTCTCTCATCCTCAGAGGAAGGCATCCAGCGCGCCCAATCACACGGCCGTAGGCATGCTCGACCATGAACCGGTCCAGGAGGGGATGAAGATAGGCCATGCGGGCCCTCAGCTTCTGGTACTTCTCGCCGTAGATCATCGAGCACGCCTCATCCCCTGTGCACCCTCTCTCAGCAAACGCTCCTCCCGGGCTCCCACCCTCGCATGCAGCATCACCTCTGACGGCAAAGTAGTTGCCCTCATTGCTGTGCTCTTCCTGCCACTCGGGCGTGCGCTCGACGCCGACTTTCTGCACAGCTGCGAAGGCATTGATGGTCTTGGGGAAGCCAACGAGGCAGTTCAACTGAAGGATCGCCTGCCACAAACCTTGTCACCGCTCACACCCACCCGCTACAGCGGAGGTCACACCTCCATCCCAGCGGGGTGGCAGGACTTGGGCACGTACTTCCAGTCGCGAGCTACGTCTTTCAGCTTGCCAGCGCCCTGCCATGTCTCGGATCAGGAGACCGCTCCCTCATGCATCTGCATGCT